CCAATAGGATACGTATACACTGTGGTGCTGCCACTTTGTACCCACTTAGTTGAACAACTAGGGAATGCAAAATAACTATTTTGGTACAAGGAGTCCAGCTGTGTTTATTTTGGCTGATTTTTAACTGAACCACAGCAAATTGTGCATTATAACTCAAGCATACTTACTCCAATCAGAACCAGTTACATTGCATAGATCTCACTGAGACAAATCCAGTGATATACAATATGATATGGTTTATGCGAAAAAAGAAAGAAACAAATGTCGTAGTGCAAATTACTAGTTTTCAGGAACACGCAAAAGTAATGTAATGGTATAATGATGCAACACATAATGGGAAAATATCACTGTTCTCCACTCCTAGGTCTCTTGCTAGGCCCTGGCTGACCAGCATCAAAGGTTCCCGCTGCGTACATCACCCCTTCCCCCTGTTCATGGCGGTCATCCAGACCCTTCCTCCGGCGTCTGGCTAGACGTCTCAGTTTTTGGCTTCGTCTGTTGACTTGTACTCACTGCTGCCCAGTCTCTTTATGTCCTTCCTTTTCAAGAAGGCTTTGGAGAGAGCTGTTGGATTCAAGTGTAGGGTGTCAGTGATGGAACTGGCACCATCATTGAAACAGCACACGGCCAAAGCCAGGCAATTTCAACCCCAGTTTTGCCCATGAAGATCTCCTTCGGACAAAACTTGCAGATGGTTGAATGTAGGGCATTTTGTGTATATCCTTGTACACATTTTTTCAACAAGGATAGGCTTCCAAGCCGAGAGTATATTGGACGGAGAAGCTCCACAATTGCATATGGCAGGGGATCTTTGTGGTCGTATACTTTCCCAGTGGCCTGTGCGACGTGCCACTTGAACCACGACTTAGGGCCTTCTGGACAGAGATAGTGTCGAGGTTGTTCATTTGTATAGTTAGAATGAAGTAAGGTAGCCTGGACCGCCTTCATCATTCATGCCTTGCACATATCCTTTGTGTTTTCAAATACCGTCGCCGTAGTAGTTCTGAAGTGAATTTATCGTCTTGTCAGTGAGCCGTCCCGCACCACCAATCGTTTTCCCATCTGCAAGCTTTTGCCCTCGGTACTGTAGCTTCAGGTTTCGTAAGGCTGTTCCCATCCGTTTCTGGACATGCCCGACACAATCCACCTTCTCCACAAGGTAGTATTTCCCATAGGGCTGCTCTCGTAAGAGGAGTGCATGTGTCTTAGTGTCGCATTCTGAGATGAGCCATTTGTAGCGGAGACCATAAGACAGAGATGACTGGAAAATCTCAAGCGTTCCCTTAGGTTCCATTGATCCCGCACTACCTGAGAAGTTGGTGGAACATACAGGTGTGTGTGATTCTTTCCAAGCTTTGTATGAAGAGAATGAAGAGAATCCCCTGCGTGGCCATGTTCCATCACAGCTGACCAAGATGTCCACAGTACTACTATCATCCTCTGCTCCGTACCACGACCGCACTCATGTTTTTGCCTGCTTCATGCTCTCACCTGCTTGCAGCTTAGACTTGATCTCGATCTCTTCGACATATATGGTGTACACATTCTTTGACACAGGCAGAGGCAAATCCAGTATGCTAAACAAGCTGGAGCAAGTGCCGCCTGCACATTTGTTAGCAAAGACAGTCTGTTCACAACTAGGGACTTGCTGTTGTCAACAGATGAGAATGGGATATCGATCTGGTGACCACACACATTACACAGCAAGTAAGGGGCTATATACAAGCCCTGTCGTTTGGAGAAGTCCTCTCCATATGCCAGACCTTTCGCACCACACTCCCCCCCCCCCCCACACCTCACACCTTGTAACGCCGTCCTAAGGCCATCTAGTTTGAACACTCTACACCCCTGCCCTTCCGTACCGCAATCACTCTCGTAGTCACTACTATCATCATCCTCACCCAGTAAAAGATGTGGAGAGACTCTTCTTTGATGCAGTAGCACCTCTTCTGGGCGTACCTGACGGCTCTTGAACGGCGGCTGAAGATACCGCAGTAGCGGACTCGATTTTCCGGCTGTTGCTGATTGCTGGCGCTGGTAGAGTCTGGGCAGGAGGTCCATGTCGACCACGTGTCCATTGCTTCCTTTGTCTGATCGACCTAAACTTCCTTCCAGACATAGTAGGAAAAAACCAGCAGAAAGTGTCTTGGAAAAGATACGTCACGATCACCAAGGAAACGCACAAATTCGCGTACGTCATTGCAATTTTTCGCGTATCCATGCCTACCGTCTCCTATATCACGCCTTCCTGGCGGCGTAGGAGACTCACGTGTCCTAGTATATACCTAAAGAGGTCTCAAACTGTAAGGGAAAATTTTTGCTAAGCTAGTAATGCGGAGTTAGCTTCAATCATAATTTTGGAATGTTAAATCCTCTTCTTCCTCGCAGTTTTCCTCAGACATGTGGCAATATATCTGCCTCTAGCATGCACAATTGGTATTTATACCGCCTGTACCGTCTGTTGTACTCATTTCATGCGTGTTTAATTGTAGCCCTTTTGAAGTCCTGTTTTCTTTCTCTTTTTCTTTTTTTCTATAGCGTGAGCTGTGATGTGTCTAAGCATTATAGATAAGTTCTACTGAATGGACCAGCAAAGGAAAAAGTAGATCCAATATGTACAAGTGTTCTCTCGAAAGAGACACTCCGAGCCTCAGACCTTCGAAAGGGTGCTGTCCTGATTTTGCTGGCTCTACAAGACACACAACCAAATTCTCCTGTAACAGCTGTTCTTGAAAGTGCAGTAGAAATATGTGACAGGCTCTGAGAAAACGACCCTTATGACGCAAAAACTGCAAAACACGTTTGTATGCTAGACCGAAAGTCCTATAAATGCTCTCTAGTTTGCCGTTTGTTTCAGGGGCGTAGCCCGTTCCGTTGCGAAGTTATGAGCACAAGCGCAAGTGCCATTCCGCTGCGTGAAAAATCGCGTCTGAAGGTGAACTTCCGGTGTCAAATTTCAACCTCCGTATTCTCGAACAAGTCCGTGTTACAACATTACGCGCGCGCGTGCATCCGGCCGCATACATTGTACGCCGCTAGGTAACACGGGTGTTTTACGCGTGCAAATGGTGGTTGCGCTTAAATCGCGCGGTTAACGTAAATTCAATGAAACCGCGCGTGTACCGCGTTAGCAACGCCACCGCCTCAGTTTCCATAGAGTTTGTTTACATATACTTTGGAATTCAGTTATGGAACGTGTAGAGAAGCAGCACAAAAGGCACAGGATCATATTTCCGGTAACGCGCATAGCGTAGTAACAGCGTAACTCTACTGCGCCTGGATATCATTTCCTTAGCAACGCACAAAACGGCTGCGCGGTTTACACATGCCATTCTTCTCTCACCTGTCAAGGCCAGCACACAATTTTTTCAAGGCAAGTAAAAGGTTAGTTCAACAGTGGCACAATTGATATACAAAATGAACAGTATTTAGTTACTAGAACTATTTTTTCCTGTGGATTACAGCCATTCCCCAGAGGTGCATAAATCGCATTAATGGCAAGTGTCAATGACACTAGTGTGCATAACAGCAAGTTGGAGAAGTATTGCGGGGTGTGTGCAACGGTTTTGCAAGCAAAGGAAACAGCACATTTGTGTCTTGAAAACTGAAAACATTCAACATTGACACTACGACAGACCAAAAATATGTACACCCAAAGGCGTACTGCCACAAATGCCACACAATTGCAACCAAGAGATCAAGTGGGGCTGTGGTTGAGACAGCAGTGGTGCCAGTAGACTGGGAGAGTCATGGGACTGACTGTTGGGTGTGCAAGGGGAAAGCGGGGAGGCCGAAAAAGGCTACGAAGAAGCGAGGGAGACCAAAGGTCGACAGTGGCAAGGGAGTTGCCAACACTGTGCTAAAAACTGCCCCCACAAGTTGGCGAGCAGTGCAGCCTCTCTCTCTCTCTCGATTTCTCCCACCGGCTTCTTCTCTCTCCTTGCACGACCTTCAGTGCAAACTGTGCGAATGCATTGTCGATCGGCCTATCAAGACACCGTGCAACAATCTTGTATGCGCCGAGTGCATTAGTAGCCTAATCCTCAATGCCAAGTCATGTCTTCAGTGCCCATGCTGCGAGGAACATCATGAACTCTCCCCCACACGGTTTGTCCCTGCTTCAGATGTTGTCCTGAAAGTTATCGGAGCCCTCTTGATATGTTGCGACAAATCCTCTTGTACAGCGGTCATGAATCTGAAGCACTTAGCAGAGCACGTGAAGTCTGGCTGCGAAGCACACATTGCGTCATTTTCACCATCCAAGCTCACGATGAAGCAGATCATCTCCCGTCCACTCCAGTCACCTCCAACTGTAGTTGAGCAAAAGGCAGCTGCCAGCATCGTGAAAAGGCTGCTGCACACCTCTCCTCCTGTGACTAGTAGTTCTTCTGGGTCCTCAACACCAGCACCGGTTGTAAAGCTGACAACAGATGGCACAGTAAGCACACAAACTTATATTATGTAGCAAAATGCATACCAAATTCTCATTTCACAAGCCTCTAAGTCTGGTCAGAGTGTCGACTCCCAGGGTGAGTAGCAGGAATGCCAGTCGTTGGACTATGAGCCGCCGCAGTAGCAACATGTCAGCAGTTCGGTGCATCATCAGTGGAGGGGCACCTGACGACCAGCTACAACATGAGATGGCAGCTCTTACTGACATGGAGAGACAAGAGCTTCTCAAGGCTGCTACCCCACTCCACATTTCAGCTGAGGAAACCCTGGCCATGAAAGCGGATCTTGTGCTTCCCTGGAATAAAATAAGAATAATGCGCAGGTAGGTATAACACGCAAGATGGCACACCCAAGTTAATATTGCCATACCCAAGGTGGATGAAAGCACAAGGTGTAAAGCTGGCTAGCGAGAGAAGTGTACGGAGGCTGTCACAGGAGATGCTCGGAGACAACCTGGCTGCAACCGAGGTGCCACTTTCCCAACCACTTCGGTTTGGGGTCGACCTGAAGGTGTCCCCACTCGTCTATGTGCCTGATCTGGTTGGGAAAATTCTCCAGCTATTAGAGCAGAATGACAGGTTAACTCTGAGAGTGCACCAATCAATTACCTTTACCTTTAAATGTACATGTATATAGTTCCGGAAGGTTGACTTGGCACAATGGTCTCATTCCTGAGTCAGAGGTGTGGGTGAAGGTTGCAGGGGACAAAGGTGCAGACACGGTGAAGCTTGTGTTTCAGATCTGCAATGTTCCCAATCCCAACTCTGTCCAAAACACTTGCGTGTTTGCTGTGTTTGAGGGAAGGGACACCGTCAGTAACCTCCATGTTGCCCTTGACCGCTACATTCCACAGTTTGAACATCTTGCAGCAACACAGTGGAGGTAAACATGCTAGCTTACCATTATACACTTACTTTACTCGGTGACACCGGTTAGGGGGAAGGAGATTCGTCTATTCATGTCAGGAGACTATGAGTTCCTGAGTAGAATGTACGGGATTTCAGGTGCTCAAGGTACAAATCACACAGTATAGCTATGATTCCTTGGTATTATGTACATGGGTATCTTAGGACGGCATCCCTGTTTATGGTGCAACATAACCTCGGAACAAATGAAGCTTCCCAGAGAGGAGCGTCCAGCAGTTTCACCACGTACCTTGGATTCACTACAGGCAGACCTCCTCCTCTTTCAAACAGCTGGACAGGGAAATCTCAAACAGGCGAAGAATTTCCACAATGTAATTGGCCAGTATTTCTTCAAAATTCCTTTGACACAGGTTACAACTAAGTAATGTACATAGAACACTTAAAATACTCAATGTATGCCATAGGTTTGTCCGCCAGGGCTTCACATAACTCTGGGTGTATTCTACCGGTTGTGGATCCTGCTTGAGACAGCTTGCCATCAGTTGGATCTCGAACTGGCCACTCGCACTTCTCCGAGACCCACTGACCGGAAGTCTTTCCAGCACTACTCAGCTCTAGTGAAACAGCTTGCTGAGCTCAACGAGAAGAAAACAGGGCTGGTAGAGCTGACGTCGGCTCTCAATTCTGGACTTGCAGACCTTGCAATCCAGATCCCAGATGCTGAGTCACACCCTCTAGTGCAGATGCTCAAGGAAGAGGCACTGTCATCGGCTAGAAAATTGGATGAAATTGTGAGAATATGTTCGATGGGTGGTGTAAGGCAAAGGAAGATGATTTTCGTGTCCACAGGAGAGAGAGATCAAGGAAGTCACAGCCAACTGCAACAAAGGGTTCCCCGTGCATGATGGTGCATTCATTCGTTCCCTGGAACAGGAACTAGGGTCAATGCACGTGCACAGAGAGGCATACTATGGTGGCACCTTTACTGGTAACAGTGCACACAGATGCTTGAAGGTAATGGAACAGATATTCATAATTATAAGACATCATAATTCCTAAATAAACATTACACAGGCTGTAAATGTGGATAAAATCTGTGCTGTACTGCCAAAAGTTGCTAGTGAGAGGTGTCCTGACATGGAGGAACAGGCACAGGCAGTGGCTAACAAATATGGCAGAGCACTCCTTCTTTTTTCTAAATGCCACAACTTGTTTAATTCGTCCCACTACTTTGACGATGCAGCCCTTTCTACTCTACGTAAGAAATAAAATCACATCAGCATAATTATACCTGTGCATTTCTCCCTTTTCTTTAATAGTGTGCGACATTGATGCATTTGTGTCCTACTACCGTGGTACAATGGGAAGCACATTTATCCCCAAGCTACACATGCTAGAGGACCACGTTGTACCTTTCATTAGGCAATGGCGAGTTGGTGTTGGAATGTTGGGGGAACAGGGGGTGGAGGGCATCCATGCCAGGTTCAACACACTGGAACGGACATACTCATGTATGAGCAACCGTGTGGAGCGACTGAAGTGTGTGGTATCTGAGCACTGGAGACAAGTTTGCCCGGCCAATGTCGCTTTACAACCACCAGTCCAAAAGCGAACGAAGAGAGATAAGGACTGAGCTAGCTGCCGAGGACACCGATCAGTTTCTGACTGTAAACGTGTCTACTGAATAGTTAATTCTTCCATTCTCTGGGCATGGGGACCCAATCTTTCGTGAACTGTGGGCAAACAGCCACCACCAGTGTGTACAATAGTGCGGTTAAGCAACGGTCGAGTACGTCGCGCAAAAAATAGTTCTAGGCGTCTCACCTAGACTATCCTGTCCTCCACAGATGTCTTTCTCCGTTCCTTAAGGTTTCATGTGGATATAAATTCAGCTAAACGTCCTCCATACGGGACAAACACGAAGCCCGCGAGCGGATGTAGATCCACCGAGGAGCGCCGGTACGTGAACCGAAGCCGGCAAAGTATGGTACCGTTGCGTAGAGCAGAGCCTCACCGTTCCGCTTGCGCTTTCCCTCACGCTCTAAAGCGCTTGTACGACGCGACAGCGCAGCGCAAAGATCGCACCCCTTACGTTGTCATGGCCCGTTGCTAAGAAAAATTGCGGCGCGCGCCAGCGTTCGTGACGTCAACGTCTGCTACGCGTAATCCGTAAATGAAACACCCGTGAATTATGCGCCGCGTGTGTGCATCTTAACCAGACTCACCGGTCGACGTACTCGGCCCCGGGGGACTCTCCGGCGGCACGGGGTGGGCCCCTGTAGCTGTGCGGGTCTCGGTCGAGGCCGACGGCGGGACGGAGCGCCCCGCGGCGTTGGTTATCATCTCTTGGATGATAGCCAGCTAGGCCGGCGTGAACTGGCCGGCAGAGTCGAAGGGGGCTGGAGAAGCAGCGCCACTGCCGTCTGTTGCCATCGCGCTGAGGACTGGCGGGAGAGATGAAGGGAGGGGTGTGACTATGCTTGGACGTGAGGTGTGAACTTCCCGACAACGCAGGTGTCCGTGTCGAGGATCGGCCAGGCGTGAAACCAGGACGGGGCCGGGGGGAATACTCAGAGGAAAACCTGCGCACGAGGCACGGCCGAACGACAAGGGGCGAAGGGAGAAAGGCTTCTCTGGCAGAAATCAGACGCTGCAAGTAGGACGCGACCGTCCGTCTAAGATTCACCTTGAAACTGACACCGTCGCACGTGGTCCTCGTCTGGGCATGCGCAGGCATGCGCGTGCTGGCGCGTGCGCCTCATACCGCTTGGTATGACGTCGGCGCGCTGGGGGGGGCTGGCTCCTTCCGTTAACTACGTTTAACATACTGTTAAACTACATATAAATCAATTATAGCATGCCTAGTCGGTATGTTGCGGTTTATTCCGCCCTCCCCCTCGGGCGTCGGGCGGAATAAACCAGCAACATACCTCCTAGGCATGCTATAACTAATACATACTGCCACATTCCCATGAAAGCAAATTGCTTAGAGCTGTGTGGTATATATTACAGGAGACCAGTTGAGTGTCAGACTATGCCATGATGACTACTCCATGTGGTTCCATGTTAGTCCACCAACAGCCTCTCTCCCTCCTCTCCCTGCTGAGAGACCTCTGTGTACCTGCGGTGTTCATACTGCCTGGAGCAGGTCACGGATAGCCATGCTCAATGACACTGCCCGGTCCCATCTCTACCTCTGTGCATTCACTCAGGTACATATTATGTGTACTGCCTTTAACTCTTGTCTGCCCATTCTACTGACTGGAAGAGCCAGACATACGGTACGGGTCAAAAACAAAGTAATACTATTGAGTTGCAATTGACACACCACAAAAATTCCCATACAATTGTCAAGATCAGGTAAGCAAATGTTATCAAGTGTGCTACAAGTCACACAAACATGCAGTTGACACAATGGATATGTGCGTGTACTATGTACTGCACTGACTTACACCCTGTGCAAAAATGTACTTCAATTCACGTGTATTATCATAATTACTGTAAAAGACGTGTTGCGTGTGACGTGTACGTACGTATGTACATGTGTATGTTGCGTATGTATAATATACTCATCCATGTGAAAGAGCACATCTGTATATATATACCTGCCCAGCTTAATCCATCATCTTACATGTAAGATGCACAACAGCTGTGCATCTTACATGCTTGATGAGGTGCAAAAAATGCAGCACAGAAGTGTGAACAAAACCTACTCCATATGTACATACATGTGTATGTACTCATCCATATCTGTACCTGCACTGCTTAATCCACATGTAAGATGCACAACAGCTGTACATCTTACATGCTTGATGAGGTGCAAAAAATGCAGCACAGAAGTGTGAACAAAACCTACTCATTTCACTTGCACTTAACTCATGCTCGCCCATTCTACATTTTGGAGGAGCCAGACATGATGGGAGTGTCCCCTTGTGGTAGGCACGTGCCCCCATCCAGCAGCAGGGGAGGGCAGCTAGCTTGCGGCATGCCCCCCGGCCCGGCCATGTGAGCTCACGTGGTGCCATGCTGTATCGTGTACCAGGTGTGCTCGTGAGGTTGATCATTTGGTCATGGGCTAACCGCGAGCCTCACGTGACCTGGTAGGCTGGCACGTGCCTCGCTCTACGGGACACTCCCACGGCATGCAGCATGATGGGGAGCATGGCTGCGAGCCCCTTTCCGGCAGATAGGGGCGAGTCCACCCAAGGAGGTAGCCGGCAACAGCCGGTTGCCATGCTCCCCAAGGGAGTAGGTAGAAGATCTAGGGTATGTAAACGCACTTACGCTATCCCGTAAGGTTCGTGCAGTGATACATGATTGACATTCTACAGCTATAACAAGTTTGAGACAGCTACCACAACAATCCAGAGCAATGTTAGAGCCCTACCGGGTCGGATGAGAGTCTCTGGTGAAGCGGTTCTGGGAAGCTAGTGCCACTAACATGGCAGCCAACCGTTCGTGTGGTGTCCTTATGTACCGGAGGAAGGCACCACTCTGCCACCGACCCAGCAGCTGAATGGTCGAGTCTTCTATCCCTGCAAGTGCAGCAGACGTTGCGGTGCCGATACGGAAGCTGTGACCAGCATAGTTGTCCTCTGGGGGTCCGAGCGCCCGGAGAAGTTTCCTAATCTCTTCCACGAATACCTGCTTCGTCAGTGGAGCCTTCTTTGTGGTCAGGAAGAACGGGCCTGGCTCATCTCTCCGAATGGCCACGTATGCCAAGATGGCCACGACTGGGCATAGGTCAAGCCCTGTCCTCCCCACGATTACACTTGCTCCACGGCCGAATTGATCCGTCTTGGACTGTTTCAGGTGGAGTCTCACCATCCGGGTGGCCTGTGGGTTATCAACCGCCATGTCCCCCCATGCCAGATGCAACCTGGGGTTGAACGCTGACTGGGATGGTAGCAGCAGCTCTCCTAACCGGCAAAAACTGAAAAAGGCGGTGCAACAAATAGCCCACAGTACCAGCTTCTCCGGGTGGGCCACCTCATCCAGTTTGTGTTTGATCCGGCGGAGGATTTGGGCGGTGATCGGAAGGCGGACTCTTGAGGGTTGTCCTCTTCCCAGGCGAGCTCGGGCAATGCCCGCCTGCACGCGCCTAAGAATCGGCAAGGCTGACTGCTCCCTTGGGTCCGGGAGGCCTAAGGATAACTGGGTATTCCTCATGGCCGCTAAGTACGACTTGACAGTCTGGCCTGCAAGGTTGCCGTCTGCCATGAAGGCGGCGAATGCACAAAGGAGGTGCTCCGTGACCGGGAACGGATCTGCAACACTATACTTTTCACAAAACGATCAGAATTTTCTCATTGCGGAGTCGTAAGCCCGACGCGTGGAGGGGGCGAGGCCATCTCGAAAATACCGTTGGATAGACGGAGCCAACGCTGTGATGTCCAGTCTGTGGACGGGTCGAGGAGTAGCTCTACCAGCTGTGGGGGAAGTGGAGTGGCCTGCCTGTCGGCGTGTGGCACCTTGGAGAGAAAGGAGAGACGATTATCGCGCGATAAATCGTCGGCTAGGTGATTATCCCCCGTACTTATGTACTGTGGGGACAGGGAGAAATCGTAAGTGGCCTCCACAAACGCCAACGTGCGGAGCATGTGCATGATGTGGCTGACGTGGCTGGTACGCGACCGTAAGCAGGCAACCACGGCTTGGTTGTCACAGTGCACAATGACACAGTGGGTGCCCCACGCTGGCCCCCATATAGCACATGCCAGGACCACCGGGAGTAATTCTTTGACCATGATCGGAAGATGGGCTGAATCCGTGTCCCACTGTAATTGGAACCAATGGCCGAGGTGCCATGCCCCGCAGCCCCATGACCCTGAAGCGTCGGACGCCATCTGCAATCGTGGCAGGTGGGAGGGGGAGGAGAAAAGAGACCCCATTCCACTTCGAGACAAAGGACCTCCACCATGTGAGATCAGAACGGAAGGACCTATTCAGTCTGATAGGGTGAGGCCGCAGCGGATGGTGACGCACGCCTTTCAATAGGTCAATCATGCGGCGGAGGAAGGAGCGACCGGACCGTACAACTTTGCAGGCGTGGTGTAAGTACCCACCAGGGATTCGAGCTCCCTCCGCTCACACACTTTCCTGTCTCTCCAGACCTCAAGAAGGGACCGAAGGCGGCACAGCTTGTCCTGAGGGAGGCGGAGTTGGGAAGCAACGGTATCTACCTCGATACCCAGGAATGTCAGGCACGTTGTAGGACCCTCCGTTGTGCTCGCGAGTGGCACACCGAGGGTCGCACACGCCTGTGTGACAGTGACCAAAGCTTCCGCACACTCAGAGGAGTGTGGTGGAGCGACAATGATAAATCATCCAGATAGTGAAAACCTGACGGATCCCGCAGTTCCGCAGATGCCACTCCAAGCATCGGCCAGTGCGTTGAAGATCTTAGGTGCGGAGCGGAGGCCGAACTGTAGCATGGGATCCACATACAGGTGCCCCCGCCATTCCAACGCCGCAAGGGCGGTCCTGGGAGGACGAAGGATAGTCTGTACAACGACTCAATAACAAATTTAGCCCATGAGGGCGCCAGCAGTGTAACTGCCCTACCATTGACCCGGTCGATGGAAATGTATGATAATGAGCATAAACCTGGGTCGATGCCGCCCCTCACCACCTGCCCCAAGGTTGTTACAGGTCTGATTAAGCGCCACTTCCCCGTATTGTGGACCCCTCGGAATCAGTAATATGAAGTACAGAGCGGCCCAACCCTGTTCCGACCCAAGTAAAATTTCTGGGACGGGAGGTAGGGTGTGGACTGTTGTTGTCGGTTTCCGTCGAAACCGTTACTGCAGATGCCCACGCCCAGAGTCAGATGAGCCTGGCGTTGGGGCAGTTTGAGGAACGCTGTGGGGAAGGGCACAGTCCGACAAACGTGGGAGAGAACGACATCGGGTGAAATGGCACCGATTCGCATTGATAAGCTGCGACACACTTCCCGGACCTGGCGTCTTGTTGCTGGGGCCGGCAAAGCTGAGGCGCCGGCCGCTATAAGAGGGGCAAACCTTGAAACATCCCAGTGTTGGGGGTTTGGGTTGTGGGCAGCTGGTTTCACTGTGGTCATCCGACAGCAGTGGGGGCACCGTGGATCGACCGCGTCTCGCCTGTCAAGGCTTCGTTATAGAGGCGGGTGTCGGGTACGACCAATTAAGTCCTTCTGGCTAACACTGGCTCGGAGGAACTGCCTGTCGTATGCCACCCGATTTGGCCCCCTCGTAGTTGTGCGCGGCCACGAGAACTGGTCGATTGGTAGGCCCAGAGTTCGGGGCCTTCTCGGGAAAACGCGATACAGAACGGTCGCCATTCTCGCACGCACTCCAGCCAGGACTGATAGAGACGACAGCGGCTTTGAAGTGCGCCGGCCGGGGGTTCGGCGTCGGTAGTGGAGTCGTCCGTCCAGATGTCGCCACGGAGCTCCGACATCTCGACGACTCCTAACGCCAGGATCTTCTTTTACCACCTTGGGTGGCAGAGAGGCGGCGGATGTACGGGCCCTGGCTTGAAGTGACCCATAGCATGTGCTGGCGGGTCTCCAGATTGCGCAGTGATCAGCAACGCGCGGCCGTACTCCAGGCCCGAAGATGACGGCCCCCCCGGCGGGGGTAAATGTGGGCAAAGGCAGCAGACTAGCGGGATCTGGCAGATCCCCGAGTGCCTCGCAGGAGTGGCCTGTCAAGGGAGGGGTGGGGTGAACGCAGCGGGCGAAGGTGTGCCCTGAACCATAGCGCGCACGGCCGCCCGAGCAGCCCTGCACGCGCTGCAGAGTGCCTTGCAGCCGTCGGCCATACCCCCTGCCCCCGCGCACGACCACGCGTCAACAATTTTCCCCAGGAGGAGTCACACCTCTCTTAGTTTATTATTACTAGTAGGCGAATGCATGGCATTTTTGGCGAGCGGAAGCGAGCTTACAAATGGGGTCTACATCATATGAGTCACTCTTGTGTGCACAAACACATTGCGTAGCGCCGTAGCGGGCCTCTCTCTCCTCACTGACTCGGCAGCAATTTGGCGCTTTGAGCTGTTGGGCCTGGCCTGATGTGCCTCCTCGGATTCTGCACCGCGTCTAGCTCTTGATCGTACCGACCTCTCGCTAGTCGCGCTCTTCCCTTTCCTCCGCTGTTTCTGTTGCCCGGCGTTGCCCTTGCCCGTTTCCGATCACACAATCGGCGTTGAGAAAGCCGAGCTTCTCTCTGCTCAGGAGTCCACTGGCACGACGTTCTCTTTCCCTCTCTCGTCGACGACGAGAGCATCTTCTTCTAGACGATCCATAACTCTTTCCCTTTCCTCACACGCTACAAATATCAGGGTGGAGCCTACTGAGGGTGGGCGACGTACGACGACGTACGGTGACTGTGCAGTTCGGCGACGTACGGTGACATACATGTATAATATGTATATATAATTATATATAAAAATCGCGCCCGTTCGACCACTAGTTAGCTCGCTTCCGCTCGCCATATTGCCTATGCCCAGCTCCCCTGTACCGTGCCCAACTCACCGAGGTCCAGCGCCACCGGTGTTAGGCGATCTGCGATCCCTGCGCGCGCGCGGCGTCGATCTCGCGCTGAGCATCTCTCTGATGGACGCGAGCTGCGCGGGCGTGAAGGAGTCGTCGCCGCCTGTCGCATAGCCACAGCCGGAGGGACGAGACGGGGAGAAGATATAGGGCAGGGGAGGAGATAGCGCGATGATTGAGTAGACGAAGGTGATACCTCGCGGCGGTCTTGCCACGCGTGTGGCAGGCAGCAGAGGATGAGGAGATGACTAAACAACCATGCGGGAATGCCGTAGGGCGTGAACGACTTTGAATCACTAACTTTACAAACTGGCACGTGACAGGCAACTGTGCCGACTAAACACGTGCAATACTGCACACTTGCCACTCGGACTGAGTGCGCGCAATGCGCGACGCGCCCACATGCTCACGTCCTGCTGTGATCCGCGCACTACACGCCTGGCCGGCTAGGCTCTCTCCCTCGTTAACTGATGCTGCTAGATCGATCAGCGCATAATAATATCTCCGTGTGTGAAATGTGTAAAATTGGAAATAGTTTCGGATAAAAAGAAGTCGCGTACACAAGCCGCGCACTGCGCACTTGCACGACGTGAAATTCCGCTCGAAGCGAACGACTAGGTTGGCTCGCGCCCGCTCGCCAATATTCACGCTCACTGGTAGCTATCATTTTCTGTGGCTTTCAGTGTAGCTTTCACTCTAAGCTTGTCCGCTGGAAGTTGTCCATTGGAGTTTTGATTGATAATGCCTGAGTTGTGCGTAGTAATCGCGAGTGTATTACTGTCGGTTGCATGTGCAGGACGTATCTAGATAGCTACTAGATCATACCTGGTACGCCGGCGTTGTGTCCAACAGTGCAGGACAGCATGTGCTCTATGAAGGAGCAGTTACGAGTAGTTACGGAATGACTGCGAAGAGGCAGAGTGAGATATGCTACGGCCCGGGCGTTGCAGCGCTCTGTCTGTGGTACTGGATGGGATAGAATCGAGAGCCCGCAAATCACCTGCGGTGAGCTTGGGTCCAATGTAGCATTACTTACAATTGCCCAATGACTGACAACAAATATAATTCGTCATGCAGATGGGTGCGCCTCGAACCGCTAGACGGCGGCAGAATATCTGATCAATTTACGGCCTCGTTTCTCGTGTGATGGACATGAACTCACTTCAGTACTCTCTGCTCTTATTATGGTTTTTGTACTACTACTCTGGAGATGCTGGAGTAATATGTCACGACACAGTTAGCAACTGGTTATTCCAGTCCCAGTCAGCATGTGCATGTTTGATGGCCAATTATGTGGCCGGTTCACAGTGCAATGAGACTGATGTTAGACTGGTTGATGGGCGGCTATCTGATGCCAATGGTAGAGTGGAGATATGTTTCAATGGTTGTGGGGTTCAGTGTGTGGCGACGTGTGGGATGCCCGAGATGCACAGTGGTGTGTAGACAACTAGGATATGATGGATGTGAGTGTTTGTTAGTTGGACTTCACAACAGTTTTACTCTTATTACAGTTTCTATCTCACTGCAAAGATATCCTGTTTTGACAAATGAATTGTCATATTCTATCCTGGACAATGTTTGATTGCAGTGGAGATGAAGATAGGTTAAGTGAATGTGAACACAATGAAGTCGGTGTTCATACTGTGTGTAAGATATGATCAAGCTGGAGTTGAATGCAGTATTGTATGTTTTTGCTACTTTCTGTTTGAAAGGTTTAACTATTAGTGGTCGTATTAAATAGCCACTTTAGACCTGGAGTGCAATGAGACTGATGTTAGACTAGTTGATGGGCAACGCACATGATGGTAGAGTGGAGATATGTTTCAATGGTTGTGGGGTCAGTGTGTGATGACTGTGGGATGCCCGAGACGCACTAGTGGTGTGTAGACAACTAGGATATGATGGATGTAAGTGTTTGTTTGCTAAATCTTCCAACATTTATCTTTATCTGTTCACAACCAAACCAGCTCCTACTGCACTACAACAACATCCTGTTAAATCAAATGCATCATTATTATTCTATTACCTGGACAATGTTGGTTGCAGTGGAGATGAAGATAGGTTAAGTGAATGTAAACACAATGGAATTGGTGTTCACTACTGTGCTGTAAGATATGAAGAAGCTGGAGTTGAATGCAGTAATTGTATGTTTTTGCTACTTCTGTTTGAAAGGTTTAATTATTAGTGGTCGTATTACTTTAGATCTGAAGTGCAATGAGACTGATGTTAGACTGGTTGATGGAGAAACACCACATGATGGTAGAGTGGAGATATGTTTCAATGGGTTGTGGGGTTCAGTGTGTGATGACCTGTGGGATATCCGAGATGCACAAGTGGTGTGTCGACAACTGGGATATGATGGATGTAAGTGTTTGTTTGCTAAATCTTCCAACATTATCTTTATCTGTTCACAACCAAACCAGCTTCTACTGCACTACAACAACATCTCGTTATATCAAATCCATCAGTATTATTCTATTACCTGGACAATGTTGATTGCAGTGGAGATGAAGCTAGGTTAAGTGAATGTGAACACAATGAAGTCGGTGTTCACAACTGTTTTGTAAGATATGAAGAAGCTGGAGTTGAATGCAATAGTATGTGTTATCTGCCTTTGTCTACACACTCTTTACTTATGATTATCCATCAGCCACTCTAGAGCAGGAAGTGTGCAATCATACTGATGTTAGACTTGTGAATGGCAATACACCACAAGATGGTCAAGTGGAGATATGTCTCAATGGGCTGTGGGGGTCAGTGTGCAGTAATAGGTGGGATGTCAATGATGCTAAAGTTGTGTGTGGGCAACTTGGATATGATGGATGTGAGTATGAATTACCATAGTTGCTTTATTTTGTCAGGGCAAATATTCTTTCCTCAATTTCCAAGAATGATCATAAGAAAAATATTGTTGTGTGCATGTACAAAAGGACCAACATAGGCAACAAAAATCCATTTCACTTAGTTAATTCAATCACACAAAATAAACATGCTACACCGTTATTATCACCTGCACTTTTAACCACTCTACTTATGCAGCATCTTTCCCACTGCTACACCGTAGCAGTTATTCGAGTTTGTCATCTACCATCTATCATCTGGACAATGTTGAATGCAGAGGAAACGAAACCACGTTGGTAGAATGTGACCACAAAAGACCTAGCTACAATTGTTATAATAGCAAAAGTGGAGTTAGATGCAACTGTAAGCTTCGTGCACACTTTGATACTTATACTTATTTTCTGGATTTACAGCCACTTTAAACGTGGAGTGTAATGAGACTGATGTTAGACTAGTTGATGGGCTAACGCCACATGATGGTAGAGTGGAGATATGTCTCAATGGTGTGTGGGGGTCAGTGTGTAATGACCTGTGGGATGCCCGACATGCACAAGTTGTGTGTCGACAACTGAGATATAATGGACGTACGTTCTTTTTTCCATGCTATATGTCAATCCATTGTCCATTTCCACACAACACCACAGCATCTTTTCCACTGCGGCACACTACCACTTTAACTGTGTCACCAGCTTATCATCTGGACAACGTTGACTGCAGAGAAACGAAAGCATGTTGAGTGATTGTAAAACAGGGGAATTGGCGTGCACAACTGTTTTCCAGGCAGAGAAGCTGCAGTTACGTGCAACGGTGAGTCTTGTTAATTATTCTTAGTATGTTGAGTTGACTTTTTCCAACTTTGTTAATTATAGTGGTCGTATTACTTTAGACCTGGAGTGCATGAGACTGATGTTAGACTAGTTGATGGGCTAACGCCACATGATGGCAGAGTGGAGATATGTCTCAATGGGTGTGGGGTCAGTGTGTAATGACCGGTGGGATGTCCGAGATGCACAAGTGTGTGTCGACAACTGAGATATAATGGACGTACGTTCTTTTTTCCATGCTATAGTCAATCCATTGTCCATTTCCACACAACACCACAGCATCTTTTCCACTGCTGCACACTACCACTTTAACTGTGTCACCAGCCTATCATCTGGACAACGTTGACTGCAGAGGAAACGAAAGCATGTTGAGTGATTGTAAACACAGGGGAATTGGCGTGCACAACTGTTATCCAGGCAAAGAAGCTGGAGTTACGTGCAACGGTGAGTCTTGTTTTCAGTTTTTCTTAGTAAGTTTTGCGTTCCAGTGTAAGCTGACTTTTTCCAACTTTGTAAGCAGACAGGGAATGCATTGAAAATGATGTTCGACTAGTCAGTGGCAAAACAGGAGATGATGGACAGGTGGAGATGTGTTTGAATGGGACATGGACCCCAGTCTGTAGTGATAGATGGGGCTACAGACAGTCTAGTGTAGTTTGTCGACAATTGGGGTATAATGGACGTGAGTTTCGTGCAGTCTATCTTATTTCACTTTATGATGAGGCCTATATTTTTCTCTTCCAGCTTCGTATCCACGAGTGAGGCAGAGAACCAGGTTACAGAATTATTTGATTGCTGTAAATTGTACTGGTGATGAGACCAAGCTCAGTGGGTGTAGTCACCGCAAAGTCAGTGTCTGTTATGGTGGAACGGCAGGAGTGATATGCAACAGTATGTTACGATACAACACTGCAAAAATTGTATTCTACTTCCTCCAGATGGGACATGTGATGAAGGAACAGTCCATCTGGTAGGAAGTGATGATGTTTCCAGAGGCAGGGCAATCTACTGCCACAATGGAAGCTGGCATTCTTTGTGTCGTGATCACTGGAACTCCACTGGAGAAGAAGCACAAATTGTCTGTCAAGCTTTAGGCTATGATGTTTCCCAATATGGTAAACCATTATAGCAAAATGATGCTGTTTGTTATGTTAACATTTTATAAAGCATCGACCTTAGTTGATTATGGTCGTGGGACAAGTCCCTATCATCCAATGTGGCAGTGGGGAGAATGCACTAAGTGACTGCTCTAAGCTGGACGACAGTCAATGCAGGGATGTGGCAGGGGTTGACTGTATAGGTATGTCTTGTCTGTCTTCTGTTGAAATTTTCAATCTTTTCGTCCCATGTGTTGCAGCTCCTTGTACTACTCGAGGTCTGACAGACTATAGGCGGTGCACTTATTATTATGGTTTTTCGGGGTTTGGGTTTGATTACTGTAGCTGTAGCTCTCGCTGCTTTTCATATGGTAACTGCTGCTCTGATATCTCTGTTACAAAGAACTGCTTTGGTAAGTTATGCTACTTTCTAGAGGTGTAAATGGAAGCCAAAAATGTCTAACTCATCAGAGAAAGAGTGCAAACATGGCGAAGTTCGTCTAGTGGGTGGAGTAACAAATTCCACGGGAAGACTGGAGTTCTGTGCCAATGGAGTATGGGGTAGAATCTGTAACAAGCTGGAGTACTGGGGTCCTGAGAATGCCAGAGTGGTGTGCCGCCAGCTGGGGTTCTCTGAAAAGGGTAAATTTTTAGTACTTCATAGAGAGGTGTTCATGTCCATTCAGCATGGCAGCAACAGGTAGGTAATGTAAGGCATGAAGGCATGTCAATCTCTCATCACTAAGACCACTACAGAACAATGAATCAGAGTGTATTCCAGTTATGACCTCTCTTGCCCATAATTCTATCCATGCAGGTGCATACATTCTTGATTATGAGGACAGATTTGGGACTAGTAACAGAGCTGCAGTCATAGGAGAGGTCTACTGTAATGGAACAGAGCCAGAGCTACTGGAGTGCTTTCATGCCAGTATTGGATCCCATCGTTGCTATAGAGGCAGATATGTTACTGACATCATCATCAGCTGCTATGGTACACACTCAGTGAAACTTTCGAGAAAAAAACCCTCTGAATAAGGGACACCTCTGTATAAAGGACAGTTGGTTCACTAATACATGTATTATCTGGGATACCTCTGAATAAAGGACACTTTCAATGTCCCCAAGGTGTTCCTTATTCGGAGGTTTCACTGTCCCTACTTGTGGAGTTTGTATGAGCATGAGTATATTATATGCACAGATGAAAACAGAGGTTGTGAGAATGGAGAAGTAAGGCTACAAGGTGGTGCTGGCTCTTCCAATGGACATGTAGAGTTCTGCAAAGACAGAGTATGGGGGAGAGTCTGCAGCGATGGATGGGACATGAATGATACCATGGTTGTGTGCAGACAACTAGGTTTTGAACCTGAAGGTATGTGAGTGTGCTTTTGATAGTCAACCCACTCCCAAAGAGGTCAGGACGCATCTCTGCTCAGATTCAGCAGTCATTCCTGGGCCAGCAAATGCCGGGGATGTTCCAGTGTTTCTTGGGCAAGTCAACTGTAGCGGCACTGAGCAGTACTTCAATGAGTGCAGTCACGGGAGGCCACCACCTGCTGACTGTGCTAGAGCGGCAATTTCTTGCAAGACAAACTCAAGTGAGACAATGTATCCACATCAATGTATACATACCCCTGTGTACATAACTATATAATCACCTCCAAGAACTTTGTATATACACGTCTCATAGATGAAACTAAGTGTGCTGCACAAACAGAGACCTCCACTTACCCAGCTAGGTGAGTGTGTGGATCTAAAAGTTAAACTACTCACAACACAAGTACATATACAACCCCCGCCCCACCTTTGTTTTCACACACCACCATATTTTTTACCAGGCCAAGGTCCAAAGGTAGTCACTAACAACTTTTCTGCTCGTGTTACATCTGCCACGGCCCCCAACTCGTTTTGCATACGCCGAAACTAAAACTAGCCCCCCACACATTTATGGAAGATTATCTACGCCCCTGACTAATTAGGCCTGTCTCTATTACATATTTGTTATCTAGTTACGGAGAGTGCTCAGTGTACAAGTCGGAAACTGGTGTATGTGATGATGTCGTCAGGCCTGACATTGACAAAGTGTATGCCAGCTATAGGCTGGGGGATCAGAGCACCATTGCTCAACTACTCCATAACAACATCAAGGACAATGGTACCGATCAGAATGAGTACTGCATGAAGCAAGTGCTCAGAGCTCTCTGTCATTTCTACCTCCCCCCCTGTGGAAACTCCACCCATCTGGCCCCTCCCTCCTCCATCTGCCAGGAACAGTGTCAGATGGTACAGGAGACATGTCACACAACATGGAGCACTCTTCTCTCGGCATTCGATTCTGTAGACCTTGTAATAGAATGTAATGATACTTCCGCGTTGCTGTTCCCAGTTCCACACTGCTGCACTGATGCTGGGCTTGGTCGATCTGCTGTCCACCTTCTCCCCTCCTCAACTGTTGGTATTACCCCAGAGATTAGCTCATTACCACATGAAAGCAAAGGAGCGGTGGTGGAGATTGTGATTACAGTTGTAGGCCTCTTTCTACTAGCAGCAGTGGCCATGATTATTGTGGTTTCACTTCTGGTTGTACTGTCCTCCAAGAGACGTAGAAGGAAGCGGTTGGAGAATATGCAGCTTGACATACTAGCTATGTAAGTAGTCTAAGGGTTTGTATATAGCTATGGTGTTTAAGTAAGGAGCCAACTGCCCAGCAATAAGCCCCACAATAATGGTCTACCATGTGTTTTATAATCCGTGTTGGTTTTGCATTCTGACTTCATAGAGGTGGGCGTGGTGGTGCCCCAGTCTCAGTGTCGGTGACTGAAGAAATGGAACCAGGCGAGAAGGGAGATGCTAATGCATCAGTTGCTGGCCCTAATCCTTACAGTAAGCATGAAGCAGTGCCTCCAACACTAAATAAATCATCCTGTCGCAATTATCGCTAACAGTGTCAACGGGACTAAATACCGGCTTGCTGCAAGTACCTTGGCCTAGGACAAGGGTCCCTTCACATCACATGAGAGAGCTGGCCAGGGGAAAGTTTCTGGTCAAGAGTGAAGACATTACCCTGCTGGACAGCATTGGAGAAGGTGTGTCAATGTTCATTTTCTTGATTCCTGTTTACTCACATACTCAGGGGAGTTTGGTGTGGTATACAAGGCCAGACTGGGACTGTCTAAGAGAGTGGTGGCTGTCAAGACACTTAAAGGTTGATTCTCTTTCTTCCATCAACACTTTAAACTAACTGCCTCCTGCCAGGTGAGTTTGTTCAGGTAGAAGTGGACAAATTTGTGGAGGAGAGTCTGAAGATGAGTCGATTCAAACATGGTCATGTGATGGGTCTCATTGGAGTTTGTCTCGATGCTGGCTCCGCCCCTTACATCATCATGCCTTATATGGCCAATGGTAGCCTTTTGAAGTATCTCAAGAGAGAGAGAAATAATATCGTTGTTTTGGATGAAACTGATGAAGATGAGGTTATTCCTTGCTCAGTATATACCTAATCAGTCTGTTCATAGAGCGTGTTTTCCCTGCAGCTGGGAGAGGTTCGTAAGCGGCTGATGGTCATATGCTCTCAGATAGCCAGTGGGATGGAATACCTGGCAGCTAACAAGTACGTCCATCGGGACTTGGCTGCCAGGAACTGCATGTGAGTCCCCACACTCTGGAAGATACCGGCTGTTTTACCTCAGCTTTTTTGCTGGTAGGATTGATGCACATTTCGTGATCAAGATCACAGACTTTGGTCTGTCGGAGGACGTGTTTGAGAGGAACTACTTCAGACAGGACAGCAGCAGTGGGGAAGTGGTGAAGCTGCCCATCAAGTGGATGTCTCCTGAGAGCCTCAGTGACGGACACTTCTCTGAGAAAAGTGATGTGGTAAGCACATGGCTCCACCCAGGTATAACTATACTAACTCAAACTGGCAATGGTGGGTGTAGCCACTGAAAATGAACTTGTGATTCTTCCAATTTTTAAATGACCACCATTAGCTAAAGTAGTTAATTGGGGGAAAATCCTTCAATCACTGTCTGACTCTATATTATCTCAACAGTGGTCCTATGGGGTAACGATGTGGGAGATATTCAGTGGAGGGAAGGCCCCGTACCCTGGTACGAATCCCCTCACTCTCATGGAGAGTCTGGAGCAAGGCTACCGTATGCCTCAGCCATACAATGATGCCTGCAGTGAGGCCATGTGA